TGGGGCACCTCACCCCGACAATTATTGCGCGCAAGCTGTGCCGACCTACATGCACTCACAAGCTGATGGGGCGATGTAGCCGTTGTACCCCCTGGGCCCATCAGCATCATGCCTCACTCCTCATCCTCCTCAGCGGCCGCGGCAATTGCCTTCTCCTCTGCGGCCGCCCTGCACGTGGCGATTGCGACGGAGGCCTTTGTTGCATACCACGTGTTCCACACGTTGTACTGGTTCGACACATGCGTCGCCTGCCCCTCGGTCGGCGCGCCATTCGCCAGCGTCTGGAGCTCCACGGCAAATGACTCCAGGCGGGCGGAGTGGGCGCGCATCTGCGAGGCCAACTGATCGTGGCACCCCATGCCCTGGAGCTGAATGGCGTACTTCTTCGAGTCGCCCATCTGCTTCAGGACTGCAGTGGTGAGGGTCTTGATCACGCTTGCGGGGGTGCCGTCTTTGTTGTTCTTGCCGTCTTTGCCATCCTTGCCCTTCCCGTTGTTGCTCTTGCCGTCCTTGCCGCCCTTGCCCAAGTTGCCCGTCTTGCTGTCCTTGCCGTTCTTGCCGTTCTTGCCATTACTGCCGCTCTTGCCAATGATGCTCGTTGTGGTGTCGGCGTCAGCCAATGCCAGCATGGCTTCGGCTTGGGCTCCTCCAGTAGCGGCCAAGCCACGGCTCACTCCTGACTCGAACATCTCAGAAGCATCCTGATGGATTATTGACCCAGCCAGCTCCATGGACAGCGTGTCAAGCTGCGTATCTTCGTGCGAAAAGGTGGTGTCGAGCATGACGTAGTATTGCCACATGTCTGGGTCGGTCGGGAACTCTGGGTGCTTGCGGTGGAGCTTCTTCTTGGTCTTGGTCTCGATCAGAGCGTCGACTTTCGCCTCGCTGCCGTGGTGCATCGTGAGCGTGTCGTCGCGCGTCCTGAAGCCGAAGAGCTGCTTGGGCTTCTCTTTGACTTCGCGCGTGCGCTTGTAGTATGTCTCCACCGTTGCGATGCGCCCCCCGCGCTGCAACCACGCCATGAAAAGCCCCCTCTTGTCAGATTTCCATCCGGAGATCAAGGAATCAGGAAACTTCTTCTTGTTGGCACCGACGCGGAGGAAGCGACAGTACGCCGCGTGGCGCGTGGCTGAGTTCGGCTCCTCGGCGCCTGTCTTCAATTTGATCTCTGAGGCGGCCTGCTGGAGCTTCTGCAAAAACCCCTGGGCGGCGCCCACGTTGGAAACGACCCCGTCAGCGATGTCACTAGCGGCGTCCTCCCCGTCCTCCTCCGGGTACTCACCGAGTGCGGCGCCCTCGAGCTCGTCCGCGGCCTCCTCGAACTCGTCGCGCTCGCCGTCGGCCCCACCATCGTCGGGCCAGTATTCGCCATCATCGCCCCAGACACCAGCATCGGGCCAATCCTCGGTGGGTGGCGCACCGTCATCGGTGTTATCTGGCTCAGGGGCTGGCTCTGCATGACGATCACAGCCCGTGGAGGCCCACCAATCGCCGTCGTCGGCGGCGGGCGGAGGCATGGCCACGTCGTTCTCGGCAGGTGGAGGCGCGGCTGTACCCGCGAGCGCTTCCTCCGCCATGCGCTCCAGGGCCTCGGCGTCCTGACAGGGCACCAGGGCAGATCTCAACAATCTGTTTTGGCTTCATGAGGCCCCTGGGCCCCAGGGTTCATTGGGCCCCTGGGCCACAGGTTCCATTGGGCCCCTGGGCCCTCGAGCCGCGCCCCGCGCCCCGAGAAATCCAATTGGGAAAAAATCTCACCCCTCGATCTTTGAATTGATGGAGCGGGTCCCCCTCAACGTCCCTCCTCACCATCCCCCCGCGCCATCCCTCCTCAACATTCCTCCTCAACATCCCTCCTCCTCTACTCTCAACATGTTGGATAACCAAGGCCATCCGCATCCGCTGGCGGCTGGGGGGGGGGGGGGGGGGGGAACATCTCGTCCATGTTGAAACCGTTCAGGCGCGCGGACTTCTCTACCATAGACAGAAACGCCCCCCTGTTCACATTGGCCCTCTTCCTCGCGAGGCAGGGCTGGATTGATTGAACACAGAATGAGAAGCGATGGGAGAAATGCAGATCAGTAGCATGGGTTGTTGCGGGGGGGGCAGAGCAGGGGCAGCGCAAATATGCGCGAGGGGGGAGGTCGTAGCGCAAGACGAGGAGGGTGCAGGTGAGGTAAAGAAGAGGGAGGCAATCGAGGATTGAGCAAGAGTATGTAGAAGGCACATCTGTCCTGGTGGCGGGCTGGGCTGGCGGCCCCACTGGCGGCGGCGTCAGCACCGGGGCGCCAGCTTTGGACAACTCGAGCTTGATGGGCGGGCTCTGGCCTGGCTCCCCCGATTTGGCTGCGGTGCGCATTGGCGTGGTTGGCGGGCTCATCACTGGCGATTTTGCTTTCTTTGTTGGTGGCGGGGTCATATCTGGCGCCCCTGGGCGCACGGCAGGCGGAACGGCTGGCGGACCGCTGACCTCTGGCGCCCCGTCTGCGGCGGACTCCGCGCCCGTTCCCACGATCTTCGTGCCCTTGACAGCGCCCTTCGAACCATCGACCTTGCCCTTCGACGAGTCGACCTTGCCCTTCGACGAGTCGACCTTGCCCTACGCCATGCCCTTGGCCGTCGCCATGCCCTCGGAGCTCTTGGCCATGGCTTTCGGGGCGATGCCCTTCCCCTTGCCTGATGCGGCAGCGCCCGCCTTGCCCTTGGCCCCTGCTACTGGCTGGGCGCCCTTCGCAATGCGTGGCTGCGACGGCCTGCCCCCGCCGCCTTTGTGTGTTGGCGGGCCGCGGGGCTCGGCAGGAGCTGCGAGCATCGCCGATGAACGACGTTGGATCTCAGGCATGTGCGGGAGCACGGTCTAGACCCATGCAAACTGGAGCACAAAACGCAACGCGAGGACAGCCGGGGGGGAGAGGTCGGACACGCGCCCGAGAACCCGAGAACCCGAGAACACGAGACACCGAGAACCCGAGAACCTGAGAAAACGAGAACTCGAGAACCCGAGAACCCGAGAACCCGAGAAATTGAGAAACCGAGAACCCGAGAAAACGATAACCCGAGAAGACCGAGAACCCCAGAAACCGAGAAACCGAGACATCGAGAACCCGAGAACCCGAGAATCCGAAAAACCGAGACACCGAGAACCCGAGAAAACGAAAACCCGAGAACCCGAGAACCCGAGAAACCGAGACACCGAGAAACCGAGGAACCGAGAACCCGAGAACCCGAGAATCCGAGAACCCCAGAACCTGAGAACCCGAGAATCCGAGAACCCGAGAATCTGAAAACCAGAATCCGAGCACCTGAGACCGCGAGAAACCGAGAATCCGAGAAGTCGAGGACTTCATCCGAGGGTCAGCAGATGGACCCGAGATCACATTCCAAAGTTTTGCATGTGTTATATATATATAGATATAGATATATTCGGGGGGGGGGGCTGGCGAGAAGCGAGAACTTTCTCGCTTAGGCGCGCCTATTTCGCGGGTGCTCACGCCTACTTCTCGGTTCTCGGTTTTTCAAGCCCCGACCCCGCGCGGCGCGCGGAGCGGCAGTGGGCGCGCCTCCCCATGCCGCCTTGCACTTCTTGATCACGCATGCATTTGCACCTGGCCGCGCGAGAACCCAGCCCGAGAGCACATATAATAGAATGGGGCGGGGTGGGGTGGCTTTGGGGATGGCAGGGGGTGGGGGGGGGGGGGGGGCCAGAATCAAGAGCTGAGTGGGATCGGCGGGGGATGAGATGGGATGGGACGGGGTGGGATGGGGGGGAGTGGGGGGGACGAGGAGCGAGGGGTGGGATGGGGGAGATAAAAGGATATGGATTTGGAATGCGGGGGAATGGGGGATAGGAAAGGGGATGGAAAAAGGAGGCGACCAGTCGCGCAGGCGATGGGATGGCACACGCAGCCGAGACCTCTCCTGGGGGCAGCGGAACGACGCCCGCCACGCAGCTTCTGCGAGTAGGGCTCTCACATCCGAGGCATTCTCGCATGCTCCTCAAGCCCGTGAGTCATGGGAGGGGAGAGGCAGGGGTGAATTGGGACGGGTGGGATAAGATGGCATGAGTTGGGAGGGGAGACGGCATGGCTGAACGACGCTCTCAGTGATGAGGGCACTCCCAAAGCCTAGACCTCATAAGCGGGGTGGCGGTCGACCCTCCCATCGAGAGGCGGGGCGGCGGATCTCGCCCCCACAGTTCACGCCTCATGAGTTGGGTGGCGGATCGACGTTCTGAGCCGGGGGCTGGGGCATCTCACGGACTTAGGGGCTCTTAAGGGCTTATGCATCTTAGGGGCTGTTGGGAGCTCATGCATGGACCGGGGCTCTTAGGGGCGCATGCATCTTAGGGGGCTAATTGCCCCGGCCATGGCCCGGGATTCTGATGGGTCCGTGCCTCGAACCTCTTACTCTCTCATGGGTATTTTCATGCATCCTCGCCCCTGGCACCTCAATCGGCCTGGGCGTCGCTTTCTCGAGCTCTGGCGCTACCCGCAGGCCAATGGTTTGTTGTCACTACTGTGCAACGCTCATCACATGCAACATACATGCCCCTTGCTCGCAGCGTGCAATTAGAGCACCCAGGCATGCGCATACGCACGCGGGCGCAGAGAGTCTGCACATGCACAGGCTAAAGTAATTCTGCACACACTTGCAGGTTCACTACTTGCAGTTGCAAAGAAATGGATACACAAGTTTGAGCTTGGCATCGCCCCACCTCTTGGTAGGCGTCGCTTCGAGCTCGACAACCTTCGATCGCCCATCTGCATTGCGGCGCTCGAGCTGCCCGGCCACCCTCTCAACGTGGCTTGAGTCCTTGGCCTCAGGGATCAGACGTCTCTCCTCGCCATTATCTTATCCCTCCTCTCCTCCCTCCTGCCCCTCCTCTGCATCCCCCCCATCTTCCCCTCTTCTCTCCTCTCCCTTCTCTCAGCCCTTTCTCTCCAGTCCCCATCTCCCCTCCCACAGTCCCTCATCCCGCTCCCCTCAAGTCTCAATCATATTCATCCGCTCCTCATATTCGCGCGCGCAGCTGCCTGGGCCGCGTTGGCTCGCACGATGAAGGTGCCCTCGTACTTCATGTGCAGGTTCGCCACCGCTCTGCCGAAGGCTGGTGGATAAGTCTGACTCTCCTTGAGCTTCTACTTTGCCCCTGCGATACCGCCACTGTTGTCCACTATGACCAGGTCCGAGGAGCCCTTGAATCCATTGGGGAGCGGGCGGTAGAGCTCTGCCACCTCTGGGTGCATGGACCACAGGTAGATACCCTTTCTCGAAGGCGCTCCATACGCCCCCAACCACACGAATTGGCGGTGCACCCCGAACGTCTTGATCAACCATGTGAAGCGAGGATGAAAGGGCATCAGCGACGACATGGGCTGTTCCCACAACCAGAACACTCCTTTCGCAATCAGAATTAATATCAGAAGCACCTGTCGTGAAACCCTAAAATTTCCATCACGAACCTATTCTTTCCTAGTGTTTCCCAAAGGCTTCCACTGCCGTCTGCCGCTGCTCCCCATGCAAAGGAACACCCAACTGCTGCGCGCTATGCCCGTGTTGCTGGCACCGCCAGGCTTGATACGTAAGTACTGGGCAATCCAATGTGCGAAGCCCTCGTCCGTGAGCACGTTCTGGAACAGCGCATCGTCGTTATACTCCAAGCTCACAGGCTTGTAGTTGTTCCTGCGGTAGGCATTCGTGATGGCCTTGTGCTCAGCGAACGCTTCAAGGCTGTCCAGGTCGTCGACGTCGCTCAGGCCGGGGAGCAACATGCTCACGATGAACAAGAATGTGGCTGGAGCCTTGTTGAGCATGAGCGATTTGAGGATGAGGCTGCCGCGCTCGGAGCGCTGGGTTCCTGAACTCACACGTCCTTTGATGCGGATCTTGGCGGTTTCGAGGGGCACCGTCTTACCCATGGCAAGCGTCTCTAATCAGTGGATGCGTTTAGGAAGGCAGCCTGGTTACACAATGTAGGAGAGAGATCAGGCGCCGCTCGAGCCCACTGCGGCTTCGCTGAAACCAAACCCAGGGGGCGCTAATAAGCCACCAGAGAGGGGGGTAATCATCCCCCAGAGAGGGGGGCAATCATCCCCCAAAGAGGGGAGCGAACATTTCCCAAAGAGGGGGGGCAACCATCCTCCTGTTTGATTGCTCCTCCTGCTCCTCCTCATCCCCCTCCTCCTGCCCCTCCCCATCGCCCTCCTCTGCCCTCGGCTCGCCCCCTTCCATGTCCCTTCCCGTCCTCCTCTTTCCAAGCGTCGCGACACACTCTAAAACCAATCATTACTTGACCCGCCGATCCTGGCCACGCCTATCCTCGGCCCGGGATCGGCGCATGTTTGAGCGCCCCCTAGCTTGGCCAGGAAGGCGCGCGCACCGATCCCAGGGCCAAGGATAGTCTTGGTCAGGATCGCGGATCTGCGTTGCCACCCTGGACTCGGGAGCGCAGGGTTGAGGGGGCCCACCTCTTCTCACGTTCGCCACCCCCCTCGCCCTCCCTCCATGCTCTCCTGGGCGCCCCCCTGGACCTGCTCAAGTCTGGCGCGCCCTGGGCACCCACCCCTTTCATCGCCAAGCTGTCTGGGCCAGGCTGAGGGGAAGAACAATAGATTTTCCTCACCCAATGCATTCCCCTGCACGCGCACCTTGTGACGCATGTGCGCCCGCGCGCCCCCTCAATTTCAATTGCCCCTGCTTTGCGCAGGGAATACCCCCAGTGCACCCAGGGGAAATGGAGAGGCGCAGAGCGAGAAATACAGAGAGAGAGAGAGGGAGATAGAGAGAGAGAGAGAGAGAGAGAGAGAGAGAGAGAGAGAGAGAGAGAGAGAGAGAGAGCACTGCAGCTGGAGGGAGGGAAGGAGGACGCGAGGCTGGAGGGCGGGCGGGAGGGAGGTTGGATGGAAGGAGGGATGGGAGAAGGGAAGCGAGAAGGGAGGCTGGAGGGAAGTGAGATGGATGGGGGCTGGAGGCAGGCTTGAGGTAAGAACAGAGGGGGGGGGGGGGGGGCTCTAGCCGAGCTCAGCCCCACCGGGTGCCCTCCTGGTCTGATCGCCAGTCCTGCACGCACCAGTTGATGGCGTCACGCCAACTCGATGCCGCCCATCTTCGCCCAGCTGAAGAAACACTCGTGGCCCTTGACCTTCAGGCCCTGGTTCTTCTTCACCTTGAACGCCTTGCCGTGCAAGAGGACCTCGACCGACGAGTCGCTGTCATCCCTGATCGTGTACGAGAGGCGACCAGTCCTCTCTACCTGAGGCATTGCCGCATCTGGCATGTCCGAGGGGATGTCGGCCATTGCTCGCTCAGCTTCCCCAGCCTTCTCTGACTCAGCCACCCATGGCTCGGCCTTCTCGCCTGGCGCCCAGTGCAGGGTGTCTGCGTCCATCGGCTCGTACTCCGAAGGCCTTCCATGGCGCCCCATGTCCTCTTCGATTCCTCGGCAGGTCATCTCGTCCTCCTGGCACTCATTGGCGCCATCGTCCTCCTGGCACTCTTTGGCGCCATCGTCCTCCTGGTACTCATCGGCGCCCTCGTCCTCCTGGTACTCGTCTTCGCCCTCGTCCTCCTGGTACTCCTCTGCGGCGTCCTCGGCGAACCATCCGACGGCCTCTCCAGGCTTGTCGCCCCCGTCGGGATGCGGCGCCTGCTTGGTCAAATACCTGCGCCGAATGTGCTTCTGCCTCAACTTCGATAGCTTGGGCGGGCCTCTGGCGCCCTTGATGAAATTAGCCTGGTCGGCTTCTCGCCAGACTTCGTCTCCTTCGCCTTCGCTTTCGCCTTCGCCTTCGGCAGCGGCCCCTGCAGCCTGCCCTGCGCCAGGACATCCACTGGCGGGAGCATCATGTGGCGCACCTCTCTCGCCATGCTGCGCCCGTGCTTTGGGGTGAGTGGCATCGGCACAGACAGGGCCGACTCAGTCGCTGCAACGTCGGCAGGATCCTTCCCGGGGTCCAGCTCCTCGCCCGCGACGCCAAGCATCCGCGTCGTCTCGCATGCCAGGTCCGCTTCGTCGTCGTCCGAGTCGCTAAGCACCACAGGGCCAAGATCGTCGCCCCACCACGTAGGAGCAGCACTTGCCGAACCCACGAACGTCTCTGGCTGGGACCCATCGTCGTACATGTCCTTGGGGCCCCCGCTGTCCTGGAGGGGCTCCGAGCTGTCCAAGATGGGCGCTCCGAGCTCCATGCTGTCCATGAGGGGCGCTCCTGGCTCCAAGCTGTCATCGAAGGGCTCTCCCTCCACCGCGCTGACATCGAGGGGCTCTCCTTCCTCCGAGCTGTCATCGAGCGGCTCTCCCAGCTCGGTCGAGACGTCTCCGAGCTTGACTTCGGGCCCCGTGCCCGACATGTCATCGGGCTCCGCGTCGCGACCACCCCCCGCGCCCCGGGGGCGCGCCAAGTGCAGGGGGGAGTGGAAGTGGAGGTGGGGGGGCGGCGAAGGAGATGGGGGGCGGCGTTGAAGAGGATGGGGGCACATGCGAATGTGATGCCGGAGGGGGAGGGGAAGAAGTCAATCGGGGAGGTGGGGGGATGGGGAGGTCAGTCAGAGGAGAAAGGGAGGTCAGTCAGGCTCGCGATTACGCCCCCCATCCTGCTGTTTCTGTCTTTCCTCCTGGTTCTTCCACGCACACACGCGCGCGCGCGCTCTCTCTCTCTCTCTCTCTCTCTCTCTCTCTCTCTCTCTCTCTCTCTCTCTCTCTCTCTCTCTCTCTCTCTCTCTCTCTCTCTCTCTCTCTCTCTCTTTCTCTTCTCTCTCTCTCTCTCTCTCTCTTCTCTCTCTCTCTCTCTCTCTCTCTCTCTCTCTCTCTCTCTCTCTCTCTCTCTCTCTCTCTCTCTATTTCCTCTCTCTCTCTATCCCTCACTCACTTGTCCCCCTCTTTTCCGTGTCAGACTACCTTTTTCTTGTATTCTCTCTCTCTCTCTCTCTCTCTGTTTCGCTCTCTCTCTCTCTCTCTCTCTCTCTCTCTCTCTCTCTCTCTCTCTATCCCTCACTCACTATCCCCCCCTCTTCTCCTTGCCAGACTACCCCGCCCCACCTTGGTGGCCAGCTAGACTATCTTCGAGGATCTCCACCTCGGTCATGGAGTCCTCGGAGGACGAGGGGCAGCGCGGAGACAGAGGGATGACATTATGGGAAGAAGAGCGGGGTCGTTGAATGTTTTGTTCTGGGCCGCCCTGAGCGATGGCTCGCCGGTGAGCGCGAGGAGAGTTATCTGGCAGCATCATGTTCTTGAGTGATTTGATGTTGTTTTTCTTGGACCCAGAGCTGGAACGCCACAATCTTCGAGCATTCTGCCATGAGGATTTCCACTGGGTTCCCATTTGCACAGCCTCATGTATCTTATCTCTCAGAGTGTTGCTTGGTTGGAGATAGTCGCCTTCTAGGAGATCATCGAACTCCAGGATCACGTCTGCCAGGGAATATGCTGAGCTAACGTTGGCGGGTGCAAGCTTGATAGCAGGGTAGAGCACGTGAAAGTGCATGTCGACGCCGTCTTCACTGACAGGGCGTTTGGGGTCCCACGAGATGATGCTGTGACCTCTTTTAGCGATCTTCTTCCATCTAGGCGGCAGTGTATCAAGCAACAACTTCGCGCATTCAATGACCTCGCCTTCTTCCAATTTCGGAGGGCGGGCAACCGATCTAGAAGGCCATGGATCCTTCGGTCTCACATCGCTGCTAGCGCACATCCCCGCCTTCTGCGAGGCCATCGCCCGACGCCGCAGCGCGAGCCGCCCCCTGCCCCCTGGTTGGTCAACATTTCTCCTGACCCCCCATCCCCGCCCCTCCCTTTTCGGGGAAAGGGGCGAAGAAGTCCCGAGGAGGGTTGGGCACAATGGAACAACAATGAAAAGCAGGGGGAGGGACAGCGAGGAGAAGGAGGAGGAGGGCGAGGAGGAGGAGGGGCATGTCCCTGAGGAGGAGGAAAAGGAACCTGTGGATGGTGAGGAAGAGGAGAAGGAGGAGGAGCAGGGCGAAGAGGGACCGCAACCCCTCTCCACCCAGGGGGCTGAGGGCAGCTGCACGCCCCCTGGGCCCCCCAGCGCCTTCCTCAGCCAAAAGAGGCTCCATGGGCCAGGATCCTCATGCTCTGATCCTGCTCTGCTCCTGCTCTGCTCCTGCTACTCCTGCTCTGCTCCTGCTCTTGCCGGTCCCCATGCTCCTGCGGGTTTTCCCATTCCTTCTCCTATTGCTTCTACTCCGGCTCCTACTGGCCCCACTCCTGCTCCTGATATGATTATTGCTTCTAGTGGTCCTCCTAATCCTGGTCCTGGCAACGCCCTCACGCCAGCTCTGCTGCCCCCTAAGTACTCATATGCCCCCTCCTCCTCCTCCTCCTCCTCCTCCTCCTCCTCCTCCTCCTCCCCCCCTCCCCCCACTCCTCCTCCTCGCCGCCATCGTCCTCCTTGAAGGCCGAGCCGCTGGGGAGGAAGACGCCCTTCGCCAATTCGAGGCCCAATGCCCCCCCCCGCTCCAATGCCGCTCCGCTTTGGCACCTGGGATTTCCCGGGAAAGCCATCGGAAACGACACCTGGGCAGGCGAGGGGCTCGGACTTCGAAGCGGCGAAAGGCGCCTCCTTCGGTGCCCCTAACTTAGGGCGCCCCCCTAATTACTCATATGCATCCTTCTCTTCCTCCCCATCACCTCCTCACCCTCCTCCTCGCGCAGGCGGGCGCATAATAAACGTGCCGGGTACTTGTGCTTGAGGGTCGAGCCGAGCCGCCGGGGGGGAAGACGCCCTTCGCCAATTCGAGGCCCAACGCCCCCCCCCGCCCCGATGCCGCTCCGCTTTGGCACCTGGGATTTCCCAGGGAAGCCATCGTAAGCGACATCTGGGCGGGCGGGGGGCTCGGACTTCGAAGTGGCGAACGGCGCCTTCCTCGACGCCCTCCCCTGAGGGCGCGATCCCACGGG